TCTCCCACCGACACAGCACCACAGTTTCTTTAGAAACTTACCCCCGTTAGAATAAGAATCAGCTCCATTCTCTGATAAGCTGCATAAATCAATTTCCAATCGTCCTGACAGTTCATCGAGTTTGAGCCTCTTTTCTGGTGGGTCATTAAATGCCGTTCGTTCTCCCACAAAGTCATCAAGTTCATCTCTCTTTTCCGTAGAGTTGTTACGTTCCATTGTCTGTTCAACTTGGCCACCGAGTTCAGCTCTCTGTTCTGATGGATCAGCAACTTCAGCTCTCTGTCCTGACAGAACATCGAATCCAGCTTTCTGTTCCAGCATATCGTTGATTTCTAGTAGGTTATGTTCCGTTAGATCGTTATTTTCGGCTCTCTCTGTCGTAATGTCAACGGGTTCTATGCTTAGTCCCGCTTCATCGCTACTCTCACCTCTCCACTCCCTTACGTCATTAAGGCGACACATTTCAATCATTTTACTGTAAGGGGAAACTCTTAGTAACATCTGCTTTTTTAGTACAAGTGCAAAATCCACAGAAAGGAATGATCTTATAGATGAACACCAAAAGGGATCTCCTGATAAGAAACCACTCTCATTGCAAGTTTCAAACTCTGAGGCGTACTGGTAGGACCTCGTCGTAAAAAAGCAATCCAAACTATATATTGACTTAGTGTTCCTGTCAATATCTAAACAAAAAAGCTTGGGCACCAGACACCAAACGTGTTCATCGTCATCCGAAACCAAACAGAAAAAAAACCGGCAGTCAGGAGTTAACTTAACATATCGTGAAGCTGAAGCACATATTAGAGTCTCAAATCCATCATTCATGTCAATGAGGTATACGCACTTGTCAGAATCGACGATCACCATCCGTCTTCCACTAGCAGACCAAGCAAAAGATACAATTTCGCATTCGTGTGTAAAACGACTAATTTCACTTCCATCTTTTAGACTCCACTGGATGACGCAATTCCCGTCCAGACAGTCAGTCAGCATCGTGCTTTCGTCGCCAGATATTGAACAAACTAAGAATCGGCACTCGCTCGAACGGAAAAGAGGTTTCACGTCTCCGACCAAGGTATAACCCTGACACAGAGTCCCTTGTAAGATCAGGTCTAAGGTTGGATGGAAAACTACTGACCGGTGAAATGGGGAAAGGAAATCCCATGCAATCCCTAGGTGCTCCTGAAAATCATTGTTTGATACCAGCGTAGAACGTGTCCACATTAGCTGGCCAGTACGGAGCGACCACAGATGAATTGTGTCATTCGAACACTCGCATACCAGGTAGTCCTGATTTGGTGAGACATCAAAGCAGATCACATTATCTGAGGCAAAAAACCGCAGTAGAACATCTGTTCTTTCCTCCTTCTTTCGCAAATATTCCATGTATGGTAAGTCCGCATACTTGGTGTTTAGCAAGCTTAATGCCTCCGCAGACAGTTCACGTCCTCCTTCATTCAACAAGATTTGAAAGATGGCATGAGGAAGTTTTGAAAGAGTACTTAAATGCTTCCGCAACAGCAACAATAACGTCTCCAGAGCTTCTCTGCAATTCTTTGACAAACCATTTGTATTTTCCTTCTCTTGTACGCAAAGAACATCTTCAGTGGCTGCTGTACTCTTCACAGTTAGCTTTGCATAGACCAATTCTAGGTCCAAAACATAATTCTTTACAATGTCGTCCAGGCTACATGGACGAGCATTCTCTTCTACCTCAAGTATATGCTGAACACCATGCTGCAAGGCATACCTCGACGTCTGTTTCAGTGTTGAACTCTGGATCCCTTTAAGTTTCAATTCATCTAGTTCATCTCTGCAAAGTTTTGCAATGACGCGATGACATTCTTTTCCGCTAACAATAAACTTCTTTTGCCTCGAAGTAGACTCCTCGACCAACCAGTCCTTGACTGACTTGTGAAAGAAGTCAATGCACTCGCCCTCAATGGGTAGAAGAGCCGAGATACAATCAACTGCGTCTCGTACTTTTTGCTCATCAGCCGATGACCATTCTTTTGAAAGGAACAATTTGTAGACAAACTCGACAGGTAATGGTTCTCTTGCTGCCACCATGGCATTTAAAAAATCAAAGAATTGCTCTTCGGTGATACCTAGTTCTTTCTGCATTTCCTTTTTCAGGCGTTTGAAGTAGTCTTGATAAACGGACGAAATACCTGATGGCAAGTCGCTGTTGATCACTTCAGCAGCATTCATACGTACAGCATTCTTCTTAATGAACTCTGTCAGGTAATAGGTATATAACATGACTCCTTCTGACTTTTCAACAAGCTTCTCTAAGATGGTATCTTGGCAATCAGATTGCAGAACATGTTCCAGTTGCTCTTGAAAGCAAAGCCTAACGTCCATCAAGTTTTCTTGATCGTTTGGGTTAAGCTGTATGGGATTTAAGTCTTGAATCTTCTCTAAGATGTTCATTTCAGGTCGCGTTGTTACCACAAATCGTATCCAACACGGAAGCGTCTTGAAGTAATCCGCAATCACATTTAAAAGCTCATTACGTCCCTGGTATTCACTTTCGTCTAAGCCATCTATAACCATGAGATGGATAGAGCCTGGGTCTTTCAAATCTGAAAGAGGTTCGTTAAACAAGAATTCAAACAGTTCTTCCACTTCCATGTCTCCAATTTCAACGCCCACATTTCTCGACAACTTCTTCACGAGAGCCTTCCTGTACTCTGGCAGCGATTCGGAGAGCTGACAGGCCAACGACTGCAGCATCACTTTGCGATTCCTTCGGCGTGCCATGTTATGCCGACAGAAGTGGCTCCCTGACAATCGTCCAGCCTCTAACATCTTTTGGCACAAGACAGCTGAGATTACAGACTTTCCCATTCCAGCATTCCCGCTAATAATAATCACTCTATTTGGAGAACTTTTGTTAGCTAACCAGCTCTCGACTTCTTTAAGAATCGATAAACGAGTTCCCTCAACATATCTGCTTGCATGGCGTCTTATTTCAGCTAAATTGTCCACCTTTGCTAGTTTCGCAAGAACTTTGTCATCCCTGATGCTCTCATTCTCGTCATTCAAATTTTGAATGGTGTGCTGGGATGCCTCCTCCAAAGTTTGAAGCTTCTCGCAGACTTTTTCAACTGTTAACTTGGTATCTTGAATGGTTTTACTGTCTTGAAGTCGATTCTGATGCACAATACTGACAGATTCTTGCAAGTTCTTTTGCAATTGATGAACTTCTACCAGCTTTGCTTTACTTTCACGAATAGTTTCGTGATCAAATGACTGAATCTGCCGTACTTCATCAACAGTTTGCAGCACTTGGGTCTCAATATCCCGTATGTCCTTCAGCTGTGATTTTATATCTTCCTCAGAATCAGCCCACTCAAGCAACGCATCTAAGAACTCTTGCTCTCCACAATGCTCAGCCTTCAATCTATCAATTTCTGTCCGCCGCAAGCCAAGAGCAACAAGAACAGCACTTATCTCCTGCCACAGAGTTGAGAAAGTTGGACCAGCAATACCAGTTGTGGTAACATGGCCATACAATTCATTGCGGTAAAACTTTATGCGAGCAAGATTTGCTTCAAGGGAGTTGTCACTTAAAAGTGGTTTGGTGTGCCACCCTGAGTGGGGTGGGAAGAGACCACAAATGTTGGTTAAGAGAAGGAATAAAAGAGTGATATCAAATGTCTGGGAGTCTGGAGGAGCACCGCTTGGAGGAAACAATAGATCCCATTGTGATCTGTGTAAAATTCGTTTCTTTAAGAGGGCATTCAGAGTTGAATAGTTTGCATTCAACGCGGCTGAAAGACTTGCTGGGGGATGATATCCATTGAAAACGTTCCTGAGAACTGTTGTTCCACCATCGATGAGAAGTCGGCTGAGCTTGGCTCCATTTGTCTTCTCTACAGAACTGGCAAGAGGTGAAGGAGTAGCTGATGCCATATGATCCAAAATACAAAGATGGAGTCATCAAGTGCACCTACTCGTTTTCTGAAAGAAACATTACAATTGGGTAACTGCTTCTCTTAGACATGTACTGGAAAGAGGAGCAAGACCTCTCCACTCTACTAATCAGTTTGACTCCTTCAACACTATTTAATCCTTTACACCCAAGTGTCATAATGCATATTCTCCATACTTTCTTCACACGTTTCCTAAGGTGCTGACAAGGAGATTTTGTTTACTGATCAAAAGGTTCTCTTTAATTAATAATCACTACCTTCATTCTCATGACCCTAATGCGTGATCCAGGGATGATATTGTAAGGAGAAATTAGATGCTGGTCACTCTTTGGGTTCAAAGGGTTAAAGAAACCTGTCATCTTTAGAGTATCAGGGATTGTTTTTGCGCTCTGAAGGAATAATATACCTATATAATCGTGTCTCTATAGAAGTTTATTGACTAAAATATTATAAACTTATCATCAAATCTGTGCTGTATATATAATGATAATTACAAATTACAATACTCCAGGTATCTTCAGTTCATACTCATAGGATAATAATAATTATTATTTGACAGCCTTATGGTTACCTGAGCTCCCCCACACACCATTTGCAATCCTTTGGTATCAGACAATCAACTGATTGGTCAGACAAGGAGCCAGCTGAAGGAATAAAGTCTTTGGGATCAGAGATTCCTGAAAAAAAAATCAAATCACATAACAATTTATAAGAAAGTTATTTATAGTATTTCACTGCTGAACCACTCAAAATGTTAACTGAAGGCTTTGTAATGACACCAGATTCACTGTTCAATAGAACACAGGGAATGAAAATGATAAAAAAATTTAATTCAAAATTTAATGCAGTTAAATACTGACAACAATTTTCAAAATTTTGCTTGTCAGAGTTTTCACTTTAGGGAAATAATTTAACATATGACTGATATATGGATCATAATTTGCCACAAGATTTTTATCCAAGACCTAAACAACATTGTGTTTAATTGTAATATACAATAAATTCATATCATTTTAATACTGAGTTCCCTCAGCATTGGTTTACACCAGCAATAGAAGCATTACAAGCCAATTCTAGAGCAGGGTCTTAAGTTAAAAGAAGAAAGAAGTTTTTAGAAAGTATGTTATAATACCTCATCAAAACTACTACCACTAGAAGGGCATGGAAGCCTAAATCTCTCTTGTTATCTTGCAACAGGAAACTCCAAAGAGCTAATGCTGGGTCAGAAGAGGTACCCACTACTTTTGACTGCTCATAAGCCACAATGACATTTTCCTTACAAAATAACCACATTACATGTAACAAGATGCACACAAAGTGAGTGAACATTTTCTTACTGTTGGTTATGTATACATTCTTTATTGTGACCTTGACAGCATAACCCAAGCAAGAGCAACATATCTTACGAAATGAAACCCATGAAAATTTCTTATGCAATAATTTCAAAGAAAAAATTACTATGTTTTACCTTTTTCTGGCATATTTAATAAGCAAACATTGCATTGCAATGTATTGTGCTCATCACAATTAATTCAGACCTGGCCAATTTTTTATTTTCAGAACTTTTAACCCTTTACACCCTAACATCAGTATGTATGTTCTCCTTACAGTTATCTAAATATTTCCTAAGGTGCTGACAAGGAGAATTTGCTTAACAATCAAGAGCTTCTACAGTTGGTGATTACCTCTTTTATCCTTATAACCTTCATGTTTGATTCACAGGTGATATTGTGGGGGAGAAATTTGATGCTGAATACAACTGGGAGTTAAAATGTTAAATGTATTCCACTTTTTCTTAATTTTTTACTTTCATTCTGTGACACTTTTTTGAGGTTGTGGAACACTTGTAACATGAGCCTCTCTGCAATAATAAGTTGGTTAGTTAAAGCCCTCTCAGGTTGGAATTATTGCAGTTATTCAGCTGTAAGAAGTTTCCAGCTATATTAAGAACCCATGTAACTTGAAGAATTGACAATGTCTACAAGTCAGTTAAAAGACCCATAAATAGTCTTTTGATTCACACATGCACAGTAAGACGGAAAATTCTGTCAACAGACTTAGAGTAAAGCAAAAAATCAATTAAAATCATAAACAAACACTGTGAAAAGGCTGCACCAAAATACTTTGCTATAATTGCAGGTATGGAGGAGGCAACTGAAAAGACAGTGAAGTGTCAAAACTGAAAAATGAAAAACAAAACTTTTCCTTTTCCAGGTACATATAGGGTAGACCACTAAACTGTAGCTTAAATTGCAGCTCTCAGAGCATTGATTGTTATAAGATTGTCACCTCAACTGAAACAGTACAAAGAAAAAAAGTTCCAAAAGTTGCAAGGGTGGTAAATCAAGTCTGATGTTGAAGATCAAGGGCCAAAATTTAATGCTTTGAATGTGCAGATCTTTCAATGACCTTTTGGTTGTGAAAATTTCAGAAAATATGATTCAATATTAGGCATGTGCTGGCATCTTGTGCCATATGGCACTCAGTAGCATAAAAGGATTAAAATGTTTCCTCAAGCCAGAAGGTGGAGCATTGAAGCATAAAATGCAAAGAACTGGGGTCTAATTCAAAGTATTTGGACACTGGCTTCAATAAAATGCAGGGCATGACATACATGGGCAACTAGTTACACCTTAGGTATTTTGGGTCAAATTTTAGCACACAGTTGTGAAGCTAAACTCTTATTGGACCAGATATCTGTGGCATGAAAACGCTTCCAGGATTTAACTTTTTAATGACTGTCTACATCATAGAATTAAAAGTGTTTTGCTTTACCACCAAACCAATATCCTCTTAATATCTTAATGTAGAAATCATTTTAGGAAGCACACAACCCTTGCAAAATGGCTTTTGGAATTCCTAGGAATTCCTAGGAATAAAGGTGTGAATTTTCACCGTAAATTCGGACTGGGAATTCCCAACCATAACAACTCTGGTTCTAAAAACCTAGAAATTCCTAAAAATTCTCAGAAATTCCCAGAAATTCCCAGAAATTCCCAGAAATTCCCAGAAATTCCAAGTTTATAGCCAACAGGACTTGGAATTCCTAGAAATTCCTGGGAATTCCAACTCAGAGAACCAATGACTTTCCCTGAAAAGCTGTAAATCTAAAAAATTCCTAGGAATTTCTGGGAATTTCTGGGAATTTTTGGGAATTTTCAGGAATGTTTAAGAATTACTGGGAATTTTAAGCAAAAATTTGAGGCTAATGATATAAAATAAATACTTTAAATTAAAAAAACCCAGCTAAAATTCAAGTATTCAATGAAATTAATTTAGAAGCTTAATTAAGGCTTACATGTAAAATATTTTTGATTAATTATTAACATCAATGTGTGGTAATATCAGGATGGAATTTGATTTATTTTTCTTTTCTTGAAAACTTCATACAGATTAATCCTCAATTACAGCTATTCATATAAAATAGTTCTAATCAATCATTAAATTTGGTTTGACACAAATTGTGAATAAAATCTGTTGATTCTTTTCCATAAAATACAATATCTTAAGTTATATTTGTATAGTTATATTCTTAGGAGTGAAGGGGCTAATTACAGACAAATAAAATTGATTTTTTGATTAAAATCTTGTTGTAACTGTAATAATAAACTAGAATGAAGTTAACCTAAACTGCAAACTTAGCTGCTGTTTGTACTGTTTGTATTTTTTTTCCTGGGCTCACAATGAGTTGGCCTTGAATGAGGTTGTCAACAAGAACCTTGACCATTTTGTATCTGGATTCCTTGACATCTGAATTTGAAAAAAAATAATAATTATATTAAAATATGTATGTTTAAAGCTCGGACCAGGCTTTTAAGATGGCTATGAGGAAAAGGGCATTCGTTGGATTCTCAAATTGAGAAATCTCTGTTATATTGAGTGACTTTTATATTGGAGTTAGTACATCTCTCTCATGGATTTTACTAAAAAAGGGCTGAATACATTATTTTGTTTTTACCAAGGAGGGCTTCTTTATGAACTAAGGTTTGTTATGAATCTTGAATGTTCCCAAACGTGACTAGAGGAATCTTGAAACCTTACTGCTAGGTTTATTTCATTTTAAAGCATAAGCTTAAGAAACTGCGGCATGCAAGTGACTGATTCGATTCTCAGAATTATTCTAGTTTCAGTTGCGCCGAGCGTTATGTAAGCTTAATTCAACCCGCTACATCTATTCTTTTATAAGATTTTGATCACGTAACGAATATCGCAATTTTTACTCACCACAAACTTTCAAAATCGTAGCTTTACAGATGGCCACTTGACCCTTGTTTGTACCAGTCCATATGTCAACTGTTGTCCCTTCTTTTAACTCCACGGCGCCAACGACTTTCTTCTCTTTTACAACACTCGTGCTATTCTCGTTTTCCCATTGAACCACAATAAAAGCTATCTTAGTTTATAAATGTTATATTAAGCAAAACAGTTGAGAAAAGCGATCAACCGATGAAAAGTACATTCAAAGATGAGCGCCAAATGGAGTCTTCTTTGTTTCCGATCACGGGCATGATCTTTTAGGACTTGTCATTGGCTAGCAAAGTGAATCCGCTGGGTTGCCGATTGCAGTGTTAAGAGAAGCACCCAACTTTATTCTGACTTCTCCGACTGGTTCTCTGCTTCTAGAAGATGGATAGCTTGCTGATATAAATAAAGATGTGAGCTCACTCTATGTAGAAATAATCGACAAGAATCGATCTTATTACAAATGCACGATTTGCGGCCGAAATTTGTCAAGGAAACAAAGATTCGAAACTCACTTGAGTTGTGTTAATGGCAAAGGTGAGAAATAACACAAGCCAATCACAGTTTGAATGCGACGACAAATCGTCTTTTACCCTCATATTTATAAAAGAAGGATACTACATTCAGAAGTATAAGAGATACATAGATGATCCCAGTGTACCAGTACCTAAATCTACAAAGCTTGACCGTAGCAAGCGTTCAGCAACACGTTCCAACACCGCCACCTCGATTCCTCAGTCAGTCGTTTCCACT